CTGTTTGAGGTCACAGCTTCAGTTTGTGTTAGTGTTACACTGGAAAGGAAAGTATTATATTCTGTGGTGATCAATTATCTTGCCCATCTACTCTACATTCTTTCCTAACAATGTACCATAGGGAGGGCCTGGCGATGAGGCTTGGTCTGGGCAGCGTGCTCGCTTGGCAGGGGGACCCAGAGGGCGAGGAGCTGAGGGTGAGCAGACACGGGTCTAACAGTTCGATCAGCTCCACATCCTCCTGCAGCAGCACGTCCTGGTCTAGAATGCATCTCACCGAGTACTGGCCAAACACAGAGTCCTGCGAAGAGGGAGGAAAATGGCTTTTTTGATATAAGATGCCTTTCAAAATAAAACCAGTTAAGAGGGTTAAATGCCAGCATTCCTTTCTGTTTTCCATTGTACTTACCAGTTGCTGCTCCAGCTTACAAGATGCAGCCCCCTGGTGAAATGGGCTCCATCTGAACAAGACCTTAGCCAGTCTCCACAATCGTCCTCTCTGCAAATCATTCACAGGAGAAACATTATAAATCAGGCATTGAAGTAAGACCTCTGTTCCAGATGTATGCCCTAATCCTAAGCCTCAGCAGATCAGTAAGGTTGAAATATCTTCCAGATTAAAACGGTTTCTCCTGCAACATCTCCCAGGAATTGCACACAACTGATAACAAGTGTGCATAAACATGATTCATGATCAAAAGGCGTATCCCAGGAGACAAACTCTTTCAGGAAACAACAATAAGCACAATGCGAGTTTGTACAACACTCATTCCCAGGTCTTACACAGCACCACTGTGGTACACAACCACGACTGCTTCACTCTGCAGAATTTCTACTGTGGAATTATAAAGGAGTGTTGACATTTTCATCATAAGAGAACTTTTTCTCTTTTAAAATACATGGCTATCAGAGAGGAAGGATTCGTTTACATAGACACACACTTTCTGTTTTAGCTTCTGTGGATTCTCTGTGCTCCCAGCACCGAGGACTCCTAGTGGAAACAGTCTGGGACTGACATTTTGATGCAGAATAGGCTTTTCAAAATGCCCCAATGTTTTCCTGCAAGTGTTAAGAGCCTAAAAATTCCTGAAGTGTGTACCAACACCTGATCCTGTTCACTAATCTTTGCACTTTAACATTCTAGCTTCAGGTGTTTTGTGTTATCAATTAAACGGTTTGTATGTGGAGGTTTAGACTCCACTGTTTCTGTTAAGTTTAAAAAAAAAAAAAAACTGATAAACCTGCATCATAACAGCTTCTGTCTGTGAGTTACCGATCCAGACCAAGCAGCCTGCATGCTGACTCTTTTCTGGGGGATACAGCACAAGTGTTTTTAGTCAAAAGGCCGCAGTCCTATTGATTATTGATTGGAGACTGAGCATTCATGCATCACTGGTCAACAGTCTGAGTGCACACTCCCAGGCCACAACTCTGTTTAGTGTTCTCTCCACTACCAGAGATGATGTAAACCTTGTGCTGAGTGACACACGTGGGGCTGAACCCTGGCAGTTTTCCTCTGGCTCTGCAGTATTCTGCTCAGCGCTTCAGATTCCAGACCCCCCCACCCCGCGGCCAGAAGATTTATTAACAATTCTGACTTGATACCATTGACCGTGTCAAGTGAAAATACTAATTGTTTTCTCATTCCAACTCCTCAAATGTCAGGAAGCCATCTACATTTTTCACAATCATTGTAAATGAACTGCAACACAAGTAATATCAAGACTTGACCTCACGCTCTGGGAAGTTTAATAGACATTTTCTGCTAACGTGTCACTAAATGATTTTACAAATAGAAAACTGATCATCAATAAAACAATTATTTGATGCAACACTAATAGTATATATATAATGGGTCTAAAGATTAAATGAGAGGTGACAGAGCAGTGTGCACTGTGTACCATTTTACATACTGGTTAAAATCATTTCTCCAATGCACAAATTGGGATTCTTTGCCTAAACAGTGTTACTAAAGAAAGTCACTTTCAGCTTTTCCCGTTTAGGGGTCACCACAGCAAATCATCACACTGACGACTCGCATGTTGACATTTGGCACGTGTTTTACGCCAGATGCCGTTCCTGATTCGAACCCGGGCCGCAGCAGCGAGAGCGCTGCGCCTTAACCACTAGCCTACCAGGGACGGCTTTTGCCTAAGCAGTGTTACTACAGTGCAATAAATAAATTAGGCAATGATGGGGTCATAATATACTGCAACTAATGATTATGTTCTATCCTACTCTGCAGACTACTGTTCCAATTAATTAACTAATAGTTTGGTAGATAAAATGTCCAAAACAGTAAAATATGTAATTACTACATAACTTATATCAGGTCTAATACAACCAATATCAGGTCAAGGACATCTGCACAGACAGCATGTGCCACAGATGCCTTGTGCGTTCAGTGAAACAGCTCTAATGGTACAATTCGTCCTTTTCCTTGTAATTAATAACAAACTGCGGTCTGTCTATGTGAACAGCCTCGGCTCCGACTTTATCTGGGCACCAGGAAACTGGTGACTGAGGGACGACCAAATGCTTTCCTGCCTCATCCGAATCCCTCATCCCCCTTAACTCCTTAGAACGACAGTGCTTCATAGAGGAAGCGTGACACGTATGGAAAGTTCCTGAATGAAGCGAACACCACACCATTTCCCATCACAGGAGGAGGAGTCGAGCCACGTGATCCTGAGCTACCCAGGATGCATTAGTCGTCCGACTGAATCACAGGTCGACTCGAACGACAGTCATCTGCTGTTAGATTAATGCAAGAGCCTTTAAAATGTCACACTTGTAATGCTTTCACTGCAGAGCTGAAGTGCACACAGATCCATTAAAAACAGGCATACACATTTTCAGCAGATCACACACACACAGAGTTTGTAAGAGGATGCTCAGAGGCAGGAACAGCGTTTGAGAGAAAGCAGAGCGGTCTCAGTAATCTCATTTGGGCGATCTCTTCTGGAATCGGCACAACAGCCAGAAAGAAATGGAAGAGAGGGAGAGGCTTTTTTGCTGAAACCAATCTTGTGTGTGATTACAGAGTAAAGAACATGCAACACAAAATGTGTGTGTGTGTGTGTGTGTGTGGGGCGGGAGGGGGGGCTTCTCGCCATGTCTGTCTTACTGCGTCTGACCAAAAGGAAGCATAAAAACCAGTGCACATCACAGTCTGTGGGTGACTATGTGCCAGTTTGGGTCCCTGTTTACTGTCAACATTCAAATTAATGAATTACTTTCTGTCTGACTGCACAAGTGAAACGGTGACAAACATACACAGCCTCTCTGATCGGGGATACAGGTGGTTAGAAGTGAAATCTGCAAATCGTTTTCACTATTAATCCACAAGTCACTGGCCTATAAAATGTCCCCAAAGTCCTTGTTGGCATCATCTAAACTGCAGGATATCCAGTTAACTGTGATAAGAAAGAGAGATCACCAACAAATCCCCACAACAGCAGCTGCAACCAGATCATGTTTGTCATTGCTTAAATAACCCAGTGATTAATCATTCAGCTGTTGATGAATCAAACAGAAAATTGATCTACAATCATTTTTAAAAACTGACCAATTGGTAAGTAGCTTTTTAAGCAGAAATGTCTGGAAAGTACATATGCAATGGTTTTCTTAGTCACCTATGACGCCTATTATTTTTGGGCAGACATGAGTAATTTGAAGACGTCACCTTAGGCACTGGGAAATTGTGATCAGCTCATTTTTCAGGCCAAACTATTGGCTAATTAATCGAGAACACAATTACTAATTATCTTGAGATATGATCCTCCTGATCATTGATGACTGGGCAAGCGACAATGGTTAGATATGCAGCAGGTTTTATGTATGCTGTTGGGTGTACACTGTTTTATTTCAACTGGAGTATCTGTAATGTATTTTATGTTCATGTGCATTGTCTGTTTGTTTCACCTGGCTGTAAATTTCTCTTGGGGACAAATAAAAGATGCAAGAGACAAAATTAGACTGATGTTTCAATCAACTCAGCAAGGTGAAGAGTCGAAAAAGTCCATTTCTTTAGGAGGTAACAGAGCAGAAGTCAGGCACGTTAGAGCTTTGTTTTGTGATGGGGAAACTTACTAAGGTTCTCTGTGAACCTTTGTCGGGAGAAGCGAGGTCTCCCTCCTGTCCACCACATTCCTCCTCCTGTGATGCCGTCGGACATGCCTCGAAGTCTGTGTGTCCTAGATCATGTAGGTAATGGAAAAGAGGAGAGTTCTGCGAAGGAAAGGAGAGGCGGTTAGAAAGTTGGTCTACTTTCCTTTAATTATTCTATCCTCCATGGAAATGGACATTCATGATAAACACAGGTGATGCTCTTTGTTACCCCAAAACAAAGAAAACTCAAACCAGACTCGCCATGAAATAAGCAGACAGGAGGAACAACGTCCCATGCTAGAACCGAAAGATGCCTGAAGCAGCTAATGATGCTCTGTTGCTTGATGTGTACAGCTGCACAGGAGCATCTCAGTTTATGTAATTAACCTTCACCCATCACAACACACAGTTTACTGCAAAGTAACAGTCACACAATTACATGTTACTCACATGCATTGTCACACGAAGTCGGAGCTCATGTTGTCACCATCCAAATGTAGCTACGTGTGTGCGTCTTTATTCAGAACCGACGCATTAGGTCTGGTCATCTCCGCCCCACCTCTACCAGTCTAGTAATGATGAAACTCCACCAACAATGCACATACTAGCCCGGCTGAGCCACGCTCATGACCATTAAAGCTCCTTTGCAGAAACACTATTAGCAACCGTTCCAATATGTGGATTTGTTCTGGATCGTCCATGCATAGGAATGAGGAAATCGGCTGCTTATGTGAAGCTAGCATGCCGACTAGCTTGCTAAGCTAGCTTTCTGTAATGAATCGTGTACCCAGTCGTATCTCTTAGAACTCGGATGGTATGACAAAGCATCAGATACAAGTTTTGATAAAGAACAGCAGCAGAAATACAAACCTCAAATACCACATCTTCGTCAAACTCCTCAGTCATTGCTCTCCGCCATCTATACACAGGCCGTTTTGCATTCTGAAACTGTAGGCGACAGCAGTGAAGAACAACCGCTGAGAAGTTGGTAGTTAGCTAGCTGCTAAAGCTTCGCTTAAAACTACAATTCCCATAATGCTGGCATATAACCTTCGCTTCCTCGCGAGCAAAGAAATGTCCGTGCCCGGTACAGCGCCTCGGGTGGTCGTAAGGGACAACCGTGGGGAAAGCCAGGTATTGAATTTGAGTGTAAAATTAGCGGATAACAGTGAGTACACCGCCGGACATGGCCTTCAAAATAAAAGTGAACATAAAATTGTCCTTATAGTGAAAAACATGGTGTAGAAAAATTCTCTGAAACATCACTGTCATTCTAGCTTGTACAGTTTTGATGTTGTAGGTTACTTTGTTTGGTAGCCAAAATATTTTGTTCTTTGATGACACAGTAAGATTTTTCGTAGAAGATGGAAACCTATCTCACAAAAACAGGCTGCCAAAAATTGCATGACACTTTACAATGACCTCAAGTATGAATTGTTGATTTACTGTGCAAATTTTGGTGAATGCTGGGCCAAGCTGTATCGTGTATCTTTTTTTTATTTTGCCATTAAACCTTTTTTTAATTTTCACTCTATTATATTTAGCCTACACTTTCAGTTTATGCTCCAGACATGATGGAAATCATCTGACTAATGTGAGATTGTTTTCCAAATGTATTTATAAATACTTACTCCATATAACATCAAACTTTGTATTTAGTGTCATATTAAATTTGGTGAAATATTTGTAAATTTCAAAGTAAATTAATTGGTTGCTACTAAGGATTATTTTCATTATCAAATTATCTGCCAATTGTTGTTATTTTTACGTTAAAAAGTGTCAAAATGCCCAGCACAACTTCACACATAACATCAATCCAAATAGTGTTTATAATGATATAAGATAAGTTAAAGTAGATGCTGGGGTCAGAAGATATTTGGCATGGTTTCGCTATTTTTGCTTGAAAAGTGATTGAAATTATTAATTATCAAAATAGTTGCAATTTGACAGCTCCTTTAATTGACTGATCGTTTCAGTTCTAAAATTTGTTGTTAAAAATCTGTTTCCGTTGTTGGAAAATGAAATAATTCCACAGCTTCTTCAACCACAGATTTATTTTGAATTTGATAACCGGATGTGTGCTGGTTTATTGTGTCCTACTTAGCACAATTGGGAAGAGCACCGTGGCTAAAAACTTCGGGAAAAATGGAAAAAGTAACAGGCGTAAATACTTTATCTATGCATCCGCTGGAGAGCTAAGGAACAACAGCGACGGGTCTATAGGCTTTCTCCATGAAGCTGTTTTCAAGCTGACAATGGTGTCGAAGGAGGGAAAAACGCAGATTTTCTTGCAGTTCCATTGAAAGCAAATTTACTCATGGAGAAAGGAGCAAGTCGGGAGTCATGAGCACAGGTTTGTTTCGTGGGGGAGCTAACTTTACAAAATCCTGCTCTGCTCTCCTCTGTTGTTAGCTAAAACTAAATTCAAAAACCTTTAGATTTTTTTGGCAGAAAATGTAAAACTTGTAAAACTATGCAATTTCAGTGTTTACGGACGATGGCACCCCGTCTATTTTTACCCAGCCATGGCTAATTACAGTTTTTCTTAATAACAGCTTTCAAAAAGATATAAAAAAGGACTTGACCTCAGCTTCAGTGCTTTCTAAAAACGCCATCATAATTCACCATCAAATGTGTCCCTTTTCCGTTTGTTATAACAGCCACTGCTCCAGCTGGAGGGACTTAAATCCTTTGTCTTGCACATCTGTCCTGCTGTTGAGGCAACAAGTCGGTTTACAAGGTTAACCTATCATATAAACAGTTAGTTGACATTTGCCTGGGTGAAGAGGGGTGGCCCCGGTGAGTTATATGTGCCATAGAGTTTTCTTTGTTGTTTTTCCACGATATACACGATTTTAGTCTGGATACCTGGCGTTGTCCTTTACGACAAGAACATAGGCCAGGTTCCGCTCAAAAAAATCGGGCAGTTTAATGTTTCCTCGGTTATTGTTAGACTTGTAAAACTCTAAGGACATAGTCATAAACTTTGATGGTGTTGTTAGCATTTATTTTCAAATCTGACTTACTGATAAAACACCAACTACTAACAGGATAAAGTTGTAGGTTCATTATCAGTGCTCAACGCCGCCATCCACGGCGAATTTTGCTCTAAGTTTGGGTCAGTAAGGGCTTTAATTGAATTTTGCTAATATATGGTATATGCCGAATTGAAAAGTCGCTCTTGGAGATTAGTAGTCCAGTTAATTAATGTCCCACCTTGCGGATACACTCATTTCTAAGCCAAATTAAATTATACTCGGTGAGCTTTGAACGGAGTTCGGAGCAGGGCTTATAGCGGCGTGCAGTTTTCGATGTTGGCCTTTTCAGAAACATCCGCTCGATGACTCCACTTCGCGTGGTGTCTGCCAGGGAAGAGTTTCAGCCAGTGGAGCGGAAAATATGGCCTACAATCTCAATTCACAAGTTTTTATTGGTGTTAGCGGCTGTTTGTTTGGGTTTTTTCATCAGTTTACCTGGTTGAGCCCGCAAAGATTAACAGTGTGTCATTAGTTTCACATATTTTGTGTTGTGATTAGCAAAAACTCTGTGTTTTGTGTTGGAGGAGGAGGCGTGCTCTTGCTTTAGGCTAACTCATTTCAGACTTTCACACATGGCTCAAATACACTGGAAGAGTAAATAACAACATGACTTTAACTGATACAAGAACACAGACTGAAGGAGGCAAGACCCACTGGAGTGGTATATAGAAAAGAGTAGCCATCAGGTGAAGAAAGAGCAATATGTCTATTATAGTAACATTTTCTCTGTTAGTCTAAAGTGTTCAGATATTAGCTGAGTAGAGACTTGCCTAGAACAAGAAGTCGGGCACCAGCTCATTGTGAATCTGAATTGATGAATCCACTTTAACTCTGCAGTTTTCTGCAACAAGAGCGATGTAAGACCAGCTAGTGCTCAGGTATCAGTGAATTACTATATAATAAATGCAAGCAGTTCATTAGCAAGATGTGATATACCTTTGAACTAAACTAAAGTGGACCTACAGCGTGAGTCTGATCTCTGAATTGACTTAACTCATCACTTCCTCTCTGACAATGAGAGTGACCTTTTGACCAGAGTCTTAACCAACGCCTGCAGCTGTCAGTGCTTCTGTTGAAGAAGGTGTGGAGGAAACATGTGTTTTTATACTGTGCCACTGCTGCATGATTAATTGTAACAGGAAGTGTGAGTAAATAGCTTTTGACTTTTCTGTAAATCTCCCTCCTCTTTACATGCAGGTGTGAAGAAGCCTCCATTAGCTCCCAAACCTAAACTCCCTGGTGCTTCAAAACCTGCTCCCCCACCCATCGCCCCCAAACCAGGTCTCCTCAGTCAGTCTTCAGTCATCTCCCAGCCTTCGCCTGCCAGTCTCAAGAGGACAAAACCGGCTGTTGCCCCCAAACCATGCATTTCCAAATCCACAGGCTCTTCTCCTCCTGTTTCGCCTCCACCACCCAAACCCAGTGGCCCTCTTACCATATCTCAGGAACAGCAGCAGGCTTTAGATGATAGCCTCTCACTACTCAACTCCAAAAATGGGATTTTATCAGAGACTGGCAAACGTGAATCAGATTACATCATTCCTACCTGCTCCTGCAGGCTTGAGGGCTGCCTGGAATCTGGAAGTGCAACTGAGACTGGGAACATTTTGCACAAAGAGCTGTTGCAGAATGGGATTTCTACCGAAGGATTTGCAGGGACAAGGCCACAAGACAAAGCAGAAAACCGGGAAGATGGAGGAGAGAAGGGTGATGGTGGAGAGATTAGCCACAAGCAGAGGGATAAGCCTCAAAGACAGAAACACCTGGATAGGAGATTGGTAATCCAAGAGGCACAGAGGACTAAGGAGCAGAAGGGAAAAGCTTCAGAGACTCTACAGTGGGAAAGTGCTGTTTCTGAGCCTGATGTTTTAAAAGCAGATGCACAGACTGAGGCCCAAAACACACATTTAACAGACTCTAATTCAGCCTGTGATGTTGCAGGCAGCATCATTGTCTTCTCAAGACTTCATGGGTCTTCTGCAGAACCCTGTCAGGTAGAACACAGTGAGTTTATAAGCAAAACATCTTCTACTAGGTTACATGCTGATCAGCAGGTCCCTGCTGCCCCCAGTAAGCCTCTCCCAGTCCCTCACCCACGTAAACTTAAAAAGCCAAACCTGGTGAGACAGGATGGTGTGGAGGACAGCGTCCAGGAGCAGGCAGCAGAGGAACAAAAACAGGGGCTTCAGATGCAAGAGGCTGATGCAAAACTGAGTCTGTCTCTTAGTTTAGAGGACGAGGAGCTGAAGCAGGACACAAGTGATGACCCTTTACCCCAGAAAGACTCAGGTGAGGGAGACGATGAGACCAGTGTGCCAGTTCCCCCACCTCGACAGACCTCCCTCTCACCTCGCCTACATAGAACTGTCCACATGCCCCTGTCTCTTAACAAAAACACCTCCCACTCTTTAGACCTGCTCTCACAACCTGACTCGGTGAGCCAGAAAAAAGAGAGTGAGGAGCACCGGGCGGAGGAGGATGAAGAGGATGGGTACGGTGACTTTGAGCGGTACCCGATCAGTCACAGCCTCCCCAAACAGATCAGACTTGGCTGCCACCCTCCTCTGGCCAGTGCCAGGAAGGCCTTTTCTGCGGAGGATCAGCAGTCGCCGAGGGCACCACCCAGAAAACCTCAGAGACACAGCCTGCCAGCACCTCCTCCACCCTCCATCTGCCCTCCTGCACCTCCACATGCTAACACCCCCATGAGGGAGCTTCCCGCGCCTCCTCTGGAAAAAACATCCTGGC